AGCCGCAAAATGAGCGCTGCGTTCGCGATTACATTCCCAAAAGACTCCCAGCACACCCTCGTAGCACCATCGGCAAGGGACCGGAAGCCTTCCATTCGGATCCAACGAGAGCCATGCTTTTAGTCGAATATGCTCCCGTGCTAAATTCAAACGTCGTATGAACCCTCAGGCGTTGCCGAATTTCCCTTGATAAAACACGAATTTCTTGGTAAATTCATGAATATTTTTCTTCCAGTTTTTCAGATAATTGTGTTCGATATTTCACTTAAAACCCCTGAAAATTTCACGGAAAAATATTCGTAACTTTCCTCAAAAATAAACATATTATCGAAGGAAATGGACACGCATGTCATGGACATAGTTCATTTTCATTTAAATGCGTTCGGTAATGAATATTTTTCCTAGGAATTTTCAGATATTTCAGGTAAAATTGCAAAAATTAAATTGTAAAATTAAATTCCCTGCAGAGTTGGAAGAAAACTGTTCAAAATCTTCCTTGAAAACTGAGTTAAAATTCTGCAACGTCCAATAGCTTAAACTGCGCTCATATTCATCACGGCAGAGTTGCTATCTTGAGCAATTGACAAGATGCGGGTTCGACGTTCATCCAGGCGTCGTGATACAACTATTGTACTCTATGGATACGCGTATTGCCTGTACGTACATTTGAAGGCGTTTTCGTTTTCTTTGCGCTCGGGGTGCGCGGATATGGCTTGCGCTGCGACGACACGTACGGCACCCAATACTGCCGTGCTAAGGAAAGAGGCCGTATGAACCTTTAGGCGTTGCCAAATTTCCTTTGATAAAAGACGAATTTCCTGGTAAACTTATGAATATTTTCCTTCCAATTTTTCAGATAATTTTGTTCGATATTTCACCTAATGTCCCTGAAAATCTCAGGGAAAAATATTCGTAACTTTCCTCGAAAATAAATATACTATCGAAGGAAATTTGGTAACTCTCGAATGTTCACACTGCGTTTTTTCTTAGGACGGCAGTATGAGCCTCTCTACGTTCGCGGATCTCCTCGGATAAATGACGAAGTTTTGGGATATAGGTCCACCATTTCTATACAATATTTTAGAGAATTTTGGTCGTAGTTTGATGTATACTGTCTGGAAATTTCAAGGGAAAATGCTCACGAATTCCTAAAAAATAAATATTTTTGAGAGGAAATTCGTCATCATTCAATAGTTTATTCGGCCTTCCTCCCTAGTTCAATAGTAAAACGCCGTGTAAGCCTTCAGGCGAAGCCAAATTTCTTTGACCAATTGTGAATTTTTCGGAAAATTGGTACACATTTTTCTCCAGATTCTACACGAATTTCGCTCGTGATTTTATGTAAATGTCTTGAAATTTTCAGGGATAATGTACATGATTTTCCTCAAAAATGAACATTTTTGAGGGGGAATCTGGCAACTTTTGTAAGTTTATATACGGCGTTCCTCCTCAGCACGGCCGATGAGTCTGCTGCTAATTTTTGCTGCAGCGAAAGAAAGAGTTTTTGCCCCATAACCCCATAATTATGGAACGCACATCAAAAAAGTCTAAAATCCACTCTTGCCTTTGTGAAAAAGTAATTTACAAATTTTCTAGCTTCCCTTTTTAAAAACCAGCTACAACATAATTTTGACAAACTTTCCAAGAAGATTACGTATAATTAAGGACTCACTTGCTCCATCACTTATCATCACCATCAATTTTTCCTGACCGGTCTCTCGGGAGCTAGCCTATCTTTAGCCGTGGATAGGCTACGTGCTCGGAACGACTAAATTCGTATTTTGTCTGGAGATCCATTAAAAAAACCTCATATGAGCAGATTGACTGAAAAGTTCTGTATAATACCACTGAAGAACAATTATAGGTCTCACGAATTCCCAAGTTTTTTTTCCTAACCGGTTTCTCAGGAGCTAGCCTATCTTTAGCCGTGGATAGGCTACGTGCTCGAAACGACTAAATTCGTATTTTGTCTGGAGATCCATTAAAAAAACCTCATATGAGCAGATTTACTAAAAAGTTCTGTGTAATACCACTGAAGAACAATTATAGGTCTCACAAATTCCCAAGTTCCGACACAGTTGGAACGGAATCCGTAGATATCCATCCGCGACAAAAGCGTCAGAGCGTTCAGAATATCAAATTTAATTCTTGTTACGTCTCGGTGAAGTGCAAATAATTTAAACATTTTTCTGGGAGATTAAAGCTACGATTTCGAAGTTTTGACGCGGTAAGAGACAGGGTGGTTAATGAAATTTCAAAGTCCTCAAGCGCTTTAATTTCGTTACTTTCTTTTTAATTCTTGGTCGTCTCCCTCCCGCTCCGAAAAACTTTTCCTTGATCCTTCAACCATCTGCCTATTTGTAGAACCCTGCCGTGCTAAAGAAGAACGTCGCAAGAGTCTTCAGACGCTGCCAAACCTCCTTTGACAAAAACGAATTTTCTGGAAAATTTTTAAATACTTTTTCTCCAAATTTTCAGAGCAGTTCACTCGTATTGCAACCTATAGTGTCTCAAGTTTCGATGAAAAATATGCCTGACTCTCCTCAAGAATAAGTTTTTTGAGATTGTAAATGGGGCAACGTTCGAATTTTCAAACGGCGTTTTTCCTTACCACGACAGAGTTGTTCTCGTTTCTTAATATTTGCGGTCGGCGACATGAATACGATATTATAACGGTATTCCAGGACTCTTTACGAAGTAAGAGTGTTCTTTTAGAGTTTTTTTTATACCGTCGAAGCTGATTCGATAGTCGAGCAATCAAACAATGTCTGGATTTTCAGACTTTTTTTGAAACAAACCCTTGAATAACACATCATCGTGTAGTGCGCCAAGTAACAATATCAACAATTTGTAAGGGGAACACGTAAAAATAATTCCAAAATTACATGCTAAGAGGATACAATTCACAGATAATACTATCTATAATTTTCAGTTGAGACATGCTTTTGGAGGTATATCAAATTATTTTTTGATTACCTTTCGCCCATTTTTACGTGACGTTCAACGTGATGTGACTGCGAGGGATTTTAGAGAAATTGTCTTAAAATCCAAAGATCATCAAAAGATGACTGATAAAAAAATGTCTTGCCGAAACCTAAGCTATCGAAAAATACAAAAGTGGAGGATAAAAACGTTTGATATTAATGAATTTCATGAATTCATGCGTTAAGAATGTCTCTTTTTTAACTTGATTTATGAGTATGCCTTGGAACCTGTGCAAAGCCGGTTCCAAGAACCGGCCGTGGCAGGTGCAACGGAATCGAACCCATGAAAAAATTCTGCAGATAAAGTGCTAACATTTATACGGTATGAGTTTATTATATAAAACATGCGTAAAAAATGTTTCTCTCTCTGGTGAACACTGATCCTAATCATATGACTGTTTTCTCTCTCTAGTGATCGTAGTTGTATTGGTATTTTTCCTCTTAAGTGAATTAGAGATAGTAACTTAAAACCGGTTCTGTAAGTGAACCGTTTCTATGTGTACATCCAACTTAAGAGCCACAGCTCTGACCGGTTCCGCAATTATACCTACCCCAGCTGGAACCAGCTGAAGCCAGAATCTGAACCAGTTTCAGAAATCAGCTCCAGTTTTTTAATTTGGGGTCGAATTTCGTCCACTGTCAGACCCGGCCCAGATGCTCGATGGATCGAGTCAAAAGGAGAAGACGGAAAAATTTTGGAAACTTTTAACGGCCAGAATTCCGTTTATACGAAATTTTAAGGTTCCAAAAGTGGTTAAAATGTTTTCCTCGTGAAATTTCCTTGCAGCCGGAAATGCATCTCTCCTTGTATCTGGGATACTCAGACGTCCCTTTAATGGGCCAGCCGCGCTAGTCGCAAAATCGTGTTTTGATGGTTGATTTTTGTAGATTAGCTAAAAATAGTAACATCTGTCTAAACCGCAACTTTCTACGTTCAATATTAACCAAGATATCGCCCTTTGAAAAGTCAGGTTTTTTATGTCATCCACCGCGGCAGTAACACCCTTGGTTTCTACCTCTTTCGTTCGATCAGTGATACAGAAGTCGCAACGCGAAACTTCAACGACATTAAACATGAACAAAGTGCAGTGAACTGACTGATTGCCTAATCTCTTCGCGTCGAGAGCATTACCTCCTAATACGAAGATCCTCGAAGCGCGAATCCGTCTGTTTCTTAGGTTTGTTTACGTTGAATGTCGTTGAGGTTTCGCGTTGCGCCCTCTGCATCACTGACGGAAAAAGACAGGAAGAAACCAATAGTGTCACTGCCGCGGTGGATGACGTCAAAAACCTGACTTTTCAAAGGGCGATATCTCGGCCAATATTGATCGTAGAAAGTTGCGGTTTGGACGGATGTAATTATTTTCAGCTACTTCACAAGAATCATGCATCAAAACACGATTCTCTGACCAGCGCAACTGGCCCATTCTGCCGTGCTAAGGAAGAAAGCCGTATGAACATTCGAGAGTTGCCAAATTTCCCGTGATGAAACATGCATTTCTGGCGACATCCATGCATATATTTCCTTGAAATTTTCAGATATTTTAGGTCAAATTGCGTACAAAATTGTCTGAAAATGGTGGAAAATAATATGCACAATTTTCCTAGGAATTTCGGTTTTTCATCGGAGGAAACTTGGCAACGCCTGGAGGCTCACACGACGTTCTTCCTTAGCACGGCAGCATTGCCATCGATGGCAGTGGCGTGGCGTGAATTGCGATAAATCGATTGTTATGCCATTCAAACCTATGGAAAAGGATCGATAAACAGGGTGTTCGCAGTGAACACCTTAATAATCGATTCTTTACCATAGGTGTAAATGGCATAACAATCGATATATCGCAATTCACGCCACGCCACTGATCGATGGAGGCATTAGCGGTATCCGCAGGGTTTCGTGAGGCAGGAAAACCGGATAGACGTAAGTGCGGTGGAGACTTATGCTAAATATATGTGAGTACTCGCGTGTTTGCTAGGGAATGAGTGCGGGGTGCTAACCTCTTGTGGGTGTTGTAGGCTCCGGGATCAAGGCCGAGGAGGCCGAGGCGATGAACTTCCAAAGCACCTGCGCCGAGGCCCTGGAGATGTGCACCGGAGACCCGGACTGCCAGCGGTCCCTGAACCCGGTCCTCCAGCACTGCGACATGAACCGTTGCCACCGACACCAGTGCATGAAGTCGCTCCAGAACTTCTACCGCTCCAACGACCTCAAGTGGAGCGTCGAGATAGCCTTCTGCCTCTGCAAGTAAGTTATGCTCCCCATTTATTCCGCAAATCCAGGGGAACACCTGTCTATTTTTTCACGGTTATATGCTTTGCAGACCATTGTCTGTCCTTATATGTGCATCCGTGGGCCACTTTCTGAAAAAAGTTGGCGAGTAGTAATTCAGGAGCCGAATTTAGGGGGTGGCCACATGGGCCGCGACCTATGGCAGCAGATTTTGCAATTTTTAAAAATATACGTATAGAAAAAATCGGATTTGGAAAACTAGAATAGGTGACAAAATCTCTCATCTCCTAAGAGTATTGTAATTTCTAATTGAGTCACCATTCGGTGATACAAGAGACAGCACCTTTAATTAGTCGAGTTCAGAGAGAAACCAAACATGCAATTTGGCCTGGAGCGGCGCGGCGCAGAGAGCAATGATGACGAGGACTTGAGATGAAAAGGAGAAGCCCTCGGCGCGGCAGTCGGCATGTAACACATATTAACGCCTACAAGATTGCATTTATACTTCACGCATTGCGTCAAACACGGTGCGGTCAGCAGCGGTCAACGTGAAACTCATTGCGCCCACAAGACTGCAGGCATACTTCACGCATTGTGCCAAACACGGTCTGCGCGGCGGAAGTTAAAATTATTAAACTACCTTTATGTTTGTTCTTTCTTAATTTTTTCTTCCATTTCTCATGAATGGAGGGCTTTGCCCCAATAGAGATAAGTTTACGGAACTTAACTTTCGTGCAAAGTTTTGTGAAATTTTGCTAATGTTGACACGGTTTTCACAAGAAAATATGCCCAACACGAGTAAACGCGTCTTATGCAGCCCCTCCCCCCTCCGGCACGTTCTTTTGGTGCCTTTTTTGATATTTCAAAACGAATGAAATGGTGGGCGGCAAGTACGTAAATCCGACTCTGAGTGGTATCAATCTCTTCGCCATGGTGTCTAGAAATCAGAATTGGGATGGTGATAACTTTGAAAATCGTGCAGGAAGCGCCTAAGGTGATAGGTCAAAATGTCCAAAACAAAATGTCCAAAAGTCAAAATGTCCAAACCCTGAATGCCCAAAAATTTAAAAAGGCCAAATATTAGTAATGTCCAGCAGACAAATAAGTCCAAAAGTAGGCAAATGTCCAAAAGTGAGATTAGGCATAGGTTGAGTTGTCATTGGATTTTTTGGACCAAAAAGTTGCTACTTATGACCGAGGAACATTGCCAAAGTTTCAAACTTCTATCTCAATTAGGAAAAAATATACAGGGGTGGTTGGTGACTTTTGGATAACCCTGTACATTGACGTTGCTTAGAGAGATTGACTTGTGCTGCTGACACTGATTCTGACGAAGACGTCTGAAATCAGTCAGTATATATTTACTCTTTCCATTAATTTGGACATTCGCCTACTTTTGGACTTATTTATCTGGTGGACATTACTGATATCTGGCCTTTTCAGATTTTTGGGCATTCAGGGTTTGGACATTCTGACTTTTGGACATTTTATTTTGGACATTTTGACCTATTACCGCGCCTAAAGCCGAAGAGATTGATACCACTCGCCAACTTTTTTCAGAAAGTGGACCACGGGGCTGGATTTTTGTACATGTGAGGACAGACTACCACTAGCGATCGCTGGTAATTTAGAACTCGTCAGTGACAAAGAGAGGAATATTTAATTTATTGATAAAGAAACCGAAGAAATTAACAGTGCCGAAAGAAAAAGCTGTCTTCACTCTGAATGCGTGATGACGGCTTGCACACATGCTATGAACAGTATCTATGTTCATTAATGAGTTAGATAGGCAACTTAACTACCTGCATGACGAAACGTGGAGTATCTTACCCAAATGAAAGCACGTCAAGCCGGAATTGTGCCTCATAAGTCCTCCATCAATAAGTCCTTCTTACCTAATCGCTAGCAGAAAAGAGGCTTATGAGTGAACTGCATTTGTTTGTCGAGAAATATGAATATTGCTGTTCTGTTTTGACTTTGCAAGTTATTTCACCTTGCCAAACAAAATTGAAAATTAAAACAGCTTTTATTCTTGCATAAAAAATGAAAAGTAAATAATACCGGTAAAAGTTTTATGCATATTTCATTTACAAATCCGCTTTCAGTCATTCATTGTAAACCAAGGAGTTGCACAATCTGATCAACATTGAAACACTTGCAGTCTCTTATACTTGAATGTAGTCCATTTCATGAGCAAGTTTTTTTGGTTATTTTTTGCAAAACGCCAGAAGGATTTCAAAATCTTTGATTTCCAATGCTTTGTTCCTCTCTTTAGAAAAACCTCGGACTCGCAAGACTCTTGTCTAGCAGCGCAGAAAACACTCCATCCAGTTTGCGCACAACAGGACGAATCTGCAACCATTCCAACGTGCCACTCATTAGCTGAAAAATGTAAAGCAGATCAAAATTGTAGGTAAGTTGCCTGAAGTATCCTATACTTTTTTTTGTAAAATTGACGTTACCTAGCAGCCTGGAATCACCTTACTTTCAAAAGTTGAAAGAAAAAAGAAACTGAATACAATAAGAGGGATGGATAAAAATAGAGTGAGGTCTACAAACGAAACGAGTCTATCTACACAAGAATTTGGTGAAAATCCCTTTCTGTTTGCTTTAGGAAGAGTCGTATATTCTCTAGGCCAAGTCATTCGTTTATTGTAGCCCTTGGGTAAAATATGAGTCATTAGCTAACTTTCATACACCAACTTTTCTACAACCAATTTTATCCACCTGTTAAATAAGTAGGGTATTTTTTGAATTGTTCGATGTTGAAGATTCTTTCGCATAAATACTTTCAATGACAGAGTTTATTCATCTTTACTAGATGTGATGTATCAGAGAAGAATGTTGTAAAAGTATAAAGTATCCGCTTTTAAAGTAATAAAATGGACAGTATATTTTTTACTGAACTGTGTTCATGCCTAAATCTCTTCCTCTGTTCAGAGAATAAATAATGCGGTTGAAACAACCAACCTTTGAGTAATATGACACCAAATTTTACGGTTTATCGATATGTTTGCTCATACAAACAGAACTTGGGTCCAGATCGATAATTTCTCGGGTATTGGCATGAATGCTCATTTTTCATATTTTCACAAGAATATTGTGAATGTGTTGTTTTTAAGGTAATTTGGCTGTTCTCTTTGATTAATTTAATCGAATCGTTTTTAATGCCTACCCTAGGTTAAGGTTAGAACAATTTGAACAAGCGTGTGCGGTGGATAGTGTGACAAAAGAATGCACGGGTCCTCCATCGGAATGCCGAATAGCCATGCTGGGAATTTTAGGCACTGTGTTGAGGTCCAATTGCGCTTGCAATGGCACGGATTTCTCGCAACTTTACGAGTGTATGGGCTGGCAGAGAGTCCTCTGGTTCAACCCCTGCGTTGGTGAGTTAATAATCCAATTTTTCGTATAGTTGTGTCGCCTTTTGATTTACAGCACCTACAGTTACTTCCTTGTTTTTATTCCGATGCAACAAATTTTCTTCATATGCAAGAAAACAAGTACAAAAACATGTATAAAAATATTGCGCGTCAGTTTCTAATTTAACTTTTTCATAAGAAGTGCAGTTTTCATGGCGAGTTCACACGCTGTAAATGGAAGGTACAAATATTAGTAGTGCCTTAAGTTCGTACACGGAAAAAAAGTATCCAACTATACTGCTAGCTGATTTTAGCGTCAGACATAGAGAAGTTGCACAGTGAAATGCTGGTCTGAAAATCTTGGTTGACTCAAAACAGGAGTGATCATTGGAATTTTGCAACCCTGTTTTTTCTTCACTTTAAACTTTAGTAAAATATCGATTCTAGGGGAGATGGCCTGTGGAAAAAAAAATCGTTTGCTGCTTTCTCGTATGAGAAAATTGACTAATATTGACTAAGTTGACAAATGCTGATTTTTAAAATGAGCCAGACATAATAGTTCTCAAATGTCATTTAAATGTGGATGAATACCAATGTGAATACCAATGGAGAATTTGCAAGTCTCTGAAATTTGATGATGAGCACTTAAACACAAATGTTTAAGTGGAAACTACTGAGTGAACTGAACACGATGACACCCTTGGTTCATGAATTAAACAATTATTTTAGAAGATATGACAAAATGATCTAATTTGCTAAAATACGTGTGTTTAAATGGTAAATGACGCCAGATGACGGGCATTTTCTCTTTTTTAAATCTATTTTTAAATTATTTCCCATAGCAGAAAAAAATTATAAAAAATACTGTGAAATCAGCTCTTTCAGCACTTTCAGATGAAGCAATAAGAAATCTGCATGCAATTTTAATTTTAAATTAACTTGAATTTTAAATTCGATGATTCCAGTGCAAGCCCAACGGGAGTTCCACGCGGCGAAGCTGCGCGGCGACGCCATCCAGGAGCTGAGTCCGACGACGCGAGGCGCCCGCGGCGACGCGACGACACAGACGACGACGACGCCCACGCCGGCGGCGGTGCCCACGACGCCCACGACGACGGCGAGCCCGTCGACGGCGCCCGCGGCGCCCACCACCGCACGAGCGCCTCCCAGCGAGGCGCCCACCACCCGGCTCACCACGGCGGCGCCCACGACAACGACGCCCACGACGACGACCTCGACGACGACGACGCAGCGACCCACGAGCGCGTCGACCGAGTCCGAGCTCGAGAACATGATCCTCGTCACCACGACGCCCACTGAGGCGCCTACTGAGGCGCCCACTGAGCCCACCTCCACCGCCTCCACACTACCGCCTCGTAAGTCACGTTTTCAACAGCCTTAGATTCAATAGATTAGGAATTTATAAAATCAGGGCCATGGGCCATGAAATATTTTTGAATTCTGATATAGCTTATTTTGAAGAAAGTGTAAAGAGTTGTTATTTGGCCGTCCAAGAGTTTCAGCAGTGATAAAATATAGTCTGCATTGATTCTATCAAAAATTTCACCAAGATCATACATGATTTTATTGAATGTCGACTACACGGAGAAACAAAACTTAGTGCGTGGGAACCGAAGTTTAGGTCATATGGATCTCTGAAGTTTTCGGATTGAGCATCTGAACACTTTAGGTTCAGCTGCTGAGGTTTGGATCACACATCTGAATCTTCAGTTCTTACATCTGAAGTACTTCGGTTTTCACATCCGAAAAACTTCGGTTCTTACATCCGAAAAACTTCAGTTCTCACATCTAAAATATTTCAGATATAAGTTCTAAAGTTTCATATGTGTTATCCGAACCTCGACAGCTAGACCTAAAGTGTTCAGATGCTCAATCCGAAAACTTCAGAGATCCATATAACCTAAACTTCGGGTCCCACGCACGAGGTTTTTTTCTCCGTGTACAAAACACATGCCTCCTTTGTAACACTGTAAAAGTATCGTTGTAAATTTTGTAATCACAATTTTAACCTCACAAAAAAGAACGATCTTCCAACATAATTATCGTTTTTTTTGTTGGTTTTTTTTTTAGGATATTGCGTTGTTCAAAGACCTCCACAGAAGGACCAGTACATTCCAGAAGGAGAAGGCAAACGAGTAAGTACTCAATGGAGTTTTCATTGCTCATGTCTTTGTTTCATCGTCCTCGGGAAAACGGATCTTAGTCATGGACGTACAATTTTCAAAAGAGCAACGCTCGTGAAGTCAGGTCGAAAAATTTGCTTTTAAGATCTCGACAAAAATGTCACCCCAGTTTTCTAAAAAAAACTAACTTGCAATCGTTTAGTTCATCATTTCGACAATATCAAACGTATATAAAGTGGCACTTTCCTACGACAAAATCGTATCGAAAGACAGCAGATCAGAATTTCAAGTAGCTATTTTTGAAACCACGTTCTTTGAGTTCAAAATTTTAAACCGCCAAAACTTCAATATGATCCCACGTTTTGCGCGTTTTTTGTCCTGAATGTTTTGTAGAATATTCCGCTATGGGCGGACATCCTCTGACTAGGATTCTTCGTACTCGAATGATCTGCTTAGAAGAGACCCTCGTCATCCATTCAGGCCAGGGTTGCAAGCTTTCAGGAAAAATAAAATCTTGAAATTTCTCGTAAAATATTCCATGAAATTTCAGAAAAGCATGAAAAGTATTTAATTTTTTTTTTTCGAAATTAAATGCAAAATTAAATGAAAGGCGACTGGTTATTGCTTTCTGATGTTTTTTAGTGCGTGTTGCATACCTAGCCCCTGAGATTATGTTTCACATTTTTCATATTTTTTACAACATTGTGAAAATCGATGAAATATTTCACGTAAATTTTCAATATTTCATATCTTTCATTTCACCCGTGCAACCCTGATCCAGGCTGATTCTCGTAAAAACGCGGAAATAGTAAAATGATTAGTATTTCTTTTTTTGATCTACAAATATTTCAACTCAAGAATATCAATGTAAAATCATCGAGAAAATGAAGGTGTATTATTTTTTGATACAATAACACCTGGTTACAGCTTTATTCCTCGGAAGGAATTACGTTTTTCGTGTCGCATATCCAAAGAAAGGAAGAGGCTCTAGCTGTGTTAATACCTGACCTGAATGTATTGTAGTCATGTTCGATAGCTATTCCTGTAGCCTATTCAAAAATTGAAGGCGCACTGACTCATTTTACATAATTACGCTGCCGTGCTAAGCAAAAACGCCGTATGTACATTCGAGAGTTGCCAAATTTCTTTCGATAGAATGTTTATTTTTTAAGAAATTTATGAATATTTTCCCTTAAAATTTTCAGGACTTTCCGGTGCAATCCGAGAAAAATCATCTGAAAAATTTGAGAAAAAATGCTCATAAGGTTATCAGAAAAATGGTGTTTTATCGGAGGAAATTTGGCAACGCCTGAAGGCTCTTACGGCGTTTTTCCTTAGCACGGCAGTACGGCAGCGATGCGTTCAGAGTATCCACGGCGGATCCGGGACGAAAAAAGACTGTCGTGTCCGATTGACGGACGCACCACTCGAGGCTCTGTCGCGAGGAGTAAGAACCACTTATCTTCAATTAGAATTCAAGGCGCATACGTGGTTTTCTCGAGGACGAAGGCAGGGTTCTCCAGTGCACTCGAAGTTCAAGTCGAAACGACCGCGTCCGGGAAGGCTCGAAACGTCCGGGGAAAAAAAGGAGGTGCAACCCTTTCGAATTCGCCGTTGAGTACTCGCAATCATGAAAATGAAAAAGGAAGTTGGGTTTCTCCGTGAATTATTAAAATGTACATCCGAGCGTTGAATTATTCGAGTTGCCACGATGCCGGACATCCGTCGAGAGAATTTTCCACAAAAGTCCACAAATTAATGACGCAAAATGAGGCATTCCCCATATAGATTTTTTTTTAAACACAGTTGAAAAAAATACATTGCATCTAGAGTCCAGACTCTTAAAAACATCGACAAGAAAAAGTACTCTTGATTCAATCAGAATCTATAGCTTAAATCATGAACGAAGCCTCTTAATTTAAGCGGGATACGTTTTAATTCAAGCAAAAATCCGATTGAGTCAAGAGTATTTTTTCTTGTCAATGTTTTCAAAAGTCTCGACTCTAGATCTAATGTGTTTTTTTCCAGTGCATAAGAAGAGTTTCCACAACGCTATCTTGTGCCGCTAATTTTCCACAACTTTATCAGTCATTTAACGGGAATCGCTGGACAAAGGAATGGTAATTATTGTTTTAGACCAGAATTTAGTGGATTTTGTCTGTAAAAAGTTCGCTGAGAGTAGCGTTGAAGTTCCTTTACAATAAACCACTTGTAAATACAATCTTTCCAACACAAGATGTCGCGTGGAATGTTTTGAACTTTGACCGACCGTATGAAGCTCAGCGTTATAAGGAACAAAGGCACCTCATTGCTGAAAAATTGGAACTATAAATGTTAGCACAATAAGTAGGGAAGTGTTTTAAGAACACATCCTCTCTATATTATAAAATTCTTAATAAATCCAATCTGACGTGCTAAGGAAGAAAGCTGTGTAAGCTTTCAGACGTTACAAAATTTCCTTCGACAAAATAAGAATTTTCTAAGTAAATAATTTACATTAGCTTTGAATATTTAACAGAATGGTATTCACAATGCATTTATATTAGCTAAAAATGTTTATGATACATACTCACATAGCCGTGCTTTGAAATGCGTATTTTATCGCGTAAAATTTGGCATCTTTGGAATATTTAAATGACTTTTGCTCTTCGAATATGCAGTATGAGCCTACGGGTCGTCCTAAAAAAAAGCCATAGGTCCGCAGTCCATAGATAGACAGAGATTAGATTCGCATTTCCGCATCCGCATTCGCGATTTTCATTCGCAATTCCATAGATCGCACCATACTTTAAAATCTCATGGAATTATTTCTCAAAACTTCAACCAACCAAACAAATTTCAATAGGACGTATTTATGCTAAAAGGAACTACATATCGACGGTGAAACTACCAAACCACGTATCTCGTTTGCGGTGTTTAAAAATCTACGCTCTCATTTTATTTTTTTGAAGTAGACCAAATCAATATCATTCCTTGAAATTTTCACAGAATTTTCTCCGCACGAGGAGGAAAAATCACAGAAATTTTCAAGACTGGACGTCAAGTAGTTTTTCATTTAAAAAATAAAGTATGACAGGAAGTCTGCGACGTCGCAAACCGAGATACGGGGTTTGGTACTTTCACCGTCGATATGTGGAAATGGACAGATGGGGTGTGCTCGTGGAAGTAGCATAAGGAATAATGTAAAAATGGATGTAGTTCCGTTTGAGAAAATGGAAAAGCGGGATTGGACATTGAATCAAAAGGAACTGAGCACTAACTCGTGAGCCGTGGACATGTGACAAGAGCCTTGCGGACAGGGCTCATGAGTTGAAGACCGCCCTCCCGATCGTCGTTTCTCTCATCGTTGCCGCTGACGTCACTGGCGCTTTATGTTTACCATTTATTCTTACGGCCCTCAACTAACAAGCACACTCCATCTTTCCACTTGCATATAGTTCCATTTAGCATAAATACGTCCATTTGGGAAAGGGGTTTCATTTTGAATGGTTGGTCCCCTATCCTGTGATCGATCATTGCTGATTGATCATTTCCTCTTTTGTAATAAGAGTTTCGCAACAATGCGCCAAGCGATACGCTTTTGACTCTCAAAGGGCTGAAACCCAGTCCTGACGTCACGATCGGGATCAGAGAGCGCGGTAGGGGGTGGTGGGGGGAGGGGATTCAAAAGGGGAGCAGAAAAAGATATCAAAATTTAAAAGAGGAGCATTTGACGTAGCATCGGCCGGGAGCTGGCTCGGACGGGTAAACGTCGTTTTTCCCCGCCCCTTGGAAATCGTCGGAACACTCGAAAGCGAATGGCATTGCTGTCGGACTTAGCTGTAAATCGATTTTCCCATGCATAACTCAATGTTAAGTACTCGATTTTATAGGACGATCGGACGCCCTTGTCAAACAGTCGGAAACGCGAGTCCCGGCGCACAATGGGGTATTTTACTGGGTTATTTGGACTACTTTTTGCAATTTGGAACTATAAATCCTAGCCCGGTTTACAAACAACGTATGTGCCATTAGTTTTCCCATGCACATAAGTGTTTTTCCAGAAGAGCCAGAACTTATAGTTCCAAATTGCAAAATGTAGTCCATTTGGGAATCTGTTCTGCCGTGCTAAGGAGAAACGCCGTATGAACCTTCAGACGCTGTGATATTTCCTTCCATAAAAACCTAATTTACTAAGAAAATCGTTAGTATTTTTTCAGACAATTTTGTTCGCAACTTTATCTGCAACGTCTGAACACTTCAAGGTTAAATACGCATGATGTTCTTTAAAAATACATGTTTCATCCGCAACAATTTGGCAACCATCGAATGTTCATACGGCGTTCTTCCTTAGCACGGCAGTGTTGAAACCTGACCGAAACTATTCATCAATGACGGAAACTGCTCGTTTTCACGAATCATACATTACTGGTAGTTTTCCAGATGAAAAAACGTATCTTCTCTATCTCGAGGCCGCAAAATATACTTGAAGAATGATTTTTCTCCCGCAAGAACAGCAGAGCAATGGCTATCTAAAGTTTCGCTCTTTTTTTACGGTAATCTCTGAAAAAATCCATTAAATTGCCAGTAAAAATTCTAATGATTTGCAAGTTAAGACACAAAATGGAGGCGAAAATTTGGCAACGTTAAAATGGAGTTACGTTCTTCGGTCAGAAGGACGATGAATAAGACTACATTTTGCAATCAGGAATTAAAAATTCCGGCTCGGTTGAAAAACGACGAATGTGCCATTAGTTTCCCTATGCACGTAAGTGTTTTTTCAGATGAGCCAGAATTAAAGCTCCAAATTGCAAAAGTCAGTCCAATTGAGAGATAACGTGAAAAAATCGCCTCGTGGTATTGTCCCTTAGCCCTCGTGTTATGTGTAAAGGAAAACTAATGGCACATACGTTGTTCCTAACCCGAGTCAGAAATTCTAGTCTCTAAAGTTGGAAAATGTAGTCCATTTCTCCATCTGACATCCACGCCGGAGAGCCTGAGTCAGCTTTTGAGAGGAACCAGCCCAGTGCGCG